CTTTTGGCGATAAATGATGACCTCTCCTTAATGTTTTCTACTTTTTTCTTCAGGTCCCAAAGTGACATGTATGCCCCAATACATAATCGCCGAATTCGACAAAGCGCATTACCCAGATCTTGTTGCTGAAGGAATGCATCTGAAAAACACAAGCTGCTTGGCAGAGGATGAGAATGCTACTCATATTCTTTTCCATATTCCTATGCGAGGCTGCGGAACTGAGAGAATCCTTGTGAATGATAAGTTCTTGCAGTACAACAACGAGATTATCCGTCGCATAACTGGTGTTGGGATTTCGTATAAGATGGACATGCTATTCCCAATTAGCTGCAACTATGACAGGAGAGAAACACTGGGTGACGTAAGCTTTAGAGTGACTACCGGTGGGTCTCCTTCCCAAATTTAGTAATTGTTATAAAGCAGTTTTCAATTGACAACAAACAAACAACAAACAAACAAAAAAACAAACAAACAAGCAAAAACAGGTTACTCTTTGTCTATTCAACAACAGAAACCCCAACAACAGCATCAGCCACCACGCTGAAGCTGCTACAGCGAAAGATTTCTTTCATTGGTTGGTTAGTTGCCCTGTGGATCTCAGTTTCCGGGATCTTGACACTTTGGTACTAAGTTTTGCATTTGTCCGGTACACAGGTACGTAGTGACTTAATTTTGTTTTGGTGAGGTTAACCTTTTGAGGGAACTGATAGCCTTATGTGATATGCGCGTCGATTCGCCAAGATCCAAGAGTCCAGTCCGAGTCTAGCCAGACTGGCTGTCTTTCTTTTGCGTTTATGGGTAACACACTTTAGTCACCACTCCACTCAGGATTATAAAATTGGTATCAAGGAAATGTCTGGGACAACTGACGTTATGGGCAGGGTGAGAGAGAGGGGGGAGGTTTATTTTGAATCTAATCTCGTACCCAGGTCCTACCGTGTAACCGTAACTGAAATGGAGGTCTGGGCACGAGACTAACCTCGACAAAAGAGTGGCCATTAGGCCTTCATAGATTATGCTAAAAAAAGTAGCATATCATGCTAGTAGCATTGCTTTTTTGGCGAAATTATGATTAAAATTATGCTCTTTTTTCCAAGTTATACCCCTTTTTTTAAAATTATGCTCTTTGAAAACTTTGCAAATAAGTCCAAAAAATACATTTTTCAATTAGAAGCCGTTGGTCTACAAGAAAGAAATGCAACAAATCCGCAATGAAATTCAAATAAACATGTGGTTCATGTTAATCCGGGTTCAGATTGTTTCAGACGCCGCTCAGTGAGTCACAGTGAACTACAAATGCTACTACCTGAACTAAAACTTAAAACATCAAGTAACGTCACCAATTGCTTGGGAGTAGAGATGAACAATGATCAAATTGTAGCATCAAAAATGGTCCGATAACAATCAAAATATGCGAATTATGCTAGCATTGCTACTTGGCACAAATTATCCCAGTTTGCTCAAATTATGCCAAAAATTATGCTAGCATAATCAATAAAGGCCTAGTGGCCATCCCCTATCTCCACTTTAGCTCCTGAACAATTTCATTTACTTTCCGAATTACCGCTCATTTTTTGAATCGGAGTTCTCATCGGTGCATTTGATTCAGTCAATGGTATCTTCAATGTTACAGTAAACAATCAAGTTCAGCGTGAACGCCCTATCACAAAAAATGTTGTATTTCTAACTGTTTGTTGCTGTTGTTGTTGTTTTTTTTTTTTTCTTTTTTTCTTTTTTTTACTTTATTCTGATAGGTGGTGTAGCCTGGAACTTTTTTTTGGATTTGTTAGAGTCAAGCAAGAGAGCGTGAAAACAACTCCCTTATCGTCGAATATTAAGGATCAGAGAGTTCTACTGAGGAATTGCTGAATAGATTATTTTCGAACATACATAATTTTTTCAGACTCGCACAATTTTGAATGCACCTCCAAAACAGTCTCAAGAGGGTGGCAAAGGTTTTACACGTGACGCGTGATTAAGGCCAAAAAAAATGTGTGACACGTGAATTCTACAGAGAGGCGAACATGGTTCGTTAATTTAGAAAGCAGGCGTGAGGAGTGATTTTTCTCCGGAGGGATTCGTGACCTGTGAATTTTTTATTTCATTTCGTGCAACCTAGCACACAAGAAAAGATAATTGCTGATTAAAATATACGTGACTCGTGATTTTTTCGAAAAATTCGCTTGTGAAACAAGATCAGCCACCCTCTTTTAAAGCTTGCTTCTTGGTAGGGCCAAATTTCAAAAGTAGATTGAAGAGGGTTTCTTCTGTCAATTGTTATTTCTATGATGTGAATGTACTTTTTCAAACTTCCCCTCCTTAGTCTTTTCAGCTAAGTTGACAACAAATATTCAGTTTCCATAAAGTGTTTCAGAAAAGAAGTTTCTGCACAAGAGACAGAACTTTTGAATTGTAGTCATGCGCTCGTCCAGATAAAAGCGCTGGTAATGGCATCTCACTGATTAATAAGTCTAAACACTATCCGGTAAACAGAGTGCGTTTTTATATTTGGATGAAGTGGATAGCGAAGCCCTGAGGGTCATTGGCATCCAGCTTGTGCTTAAATTGTTTTTTCAATACACAATAATTGTAATAAAATAATTAGTTACATTATTTGATATTTTTAATTCTTCAGTTACCAAAAGTAAGCTGTAGAGTCCCTTCATCACACCATGTAACTTTATTGTATGAAGGAATAATGATAATTGAGTTGTCGAGACTTTGATTCCGGTTCCTACTGCTGGGACACACACACCACAAAAAAAAAAAAAAAAAAACTGGAGGTTCATTTTGCAGCTCGTAGATTTATTTGTGTGCGTTTTTTACAGGTTCAGAAATGTTTTGAGGTTTTAGGTGACTAATTGTTTTTGTTAATAACTACTTTCAAACAACTGATTGGTGGAGAAGAAGAAAACATAAAGAGTAATAGTGCAAGCGACTTGTGGAAGACATTCCCATGAATTTTATCGAAGTTATTTTCCAATCGGTGTCAAAATCAATCCAGAATTACCTTTATTAGTTTTGCTTTGCATCCCGCTGTGATTGCTATTAAAATTCGTATCATCTTCTCAGCGAAAAACAAAAACAATTATTTATGCCCAATCATAACCAATGGGTTTTCGAGAACTTTATGAAGAAGTATAATCCAATCCCGAGATCTTTCGAGATTGGGAATTGAATTATTGAGTCGAAATAAATGAAGTTCATGATTTTTTTTGGTTAGCTAGCAATTTTTATCAAGAATTTATTCTCAAGAAACACCCACCAAGTGTGCAAAATTGTCGATACTGGTGAGTGTGCCGCATCAGTCAAGAATAACATCAGGATCGTGATATGTGATCGTGATCTGTGATCGTGAGCTGTGATCGTGAGCTGTGATCGTGAGCCGTGATCGTGAGCCGTGATCGTGAGCTGTGATCCCGAATATGAAATATATCAGTTTTTTCATCGCTGCTGTGTTCCTAAGTGTTTTCGTTTCAATAGGTAAGTGTTAGCGCCGAGAAACATAAGCGGTCTGTTGATTTCTGCCTTCAGTAGAAAGAAAATATGAATAGAAAGAGTTGTTTTTCAGTTTAGATTCATTGGTAAAGGTAGAAACGTTTTTGCCATTAACGTTCATGACACATTTTGGATCCAGTAAGACTGATAGAGTGAGAAAGTACTACCGCTGTTCATTTCTTGTGCCGCACTTGTAATTAACAACAGGGCCTCATGACGAATTTGAAACGAAATTTTCAATCTGTATCAACACGAAATGTTAATAACAGTAATGATAAATCCCCTGCATACTATAAACTGATCTGCGTCTTTAAATTCATGCTGAGTAGTATAGACACGGCCTAAATTCATGAGGCAGACTTAACCATTTTTTGAATAATTAATGAAAATTACAACAAATTCTTCCTCAGCGATGAGCCTGAATTGCTACACGTGTGCCAGCACTTCCTCTTGGGATGACTGCGAACATAGAAATACGACTTGCCCAAAACTAAGCAATCGCTGCATCAAAGTTTACCTCGAACATAGTGACACAGAACTCTACAAGAAGTATTGTGGCATAGAGGCACATTGTGATGAAAAGGCCAACCCGACTTGTATCGCCGAGGTCACTGGGGCCAGCGAATGCATAATTGATTGTTGTGAAGGTAACCTGTGCAATGAGGGCTCACACCTTCATGTCAGCGGCATGACGATGATCGTATGCGCAGCGGAAGTGTTGCTTTTCCAAGATCGTTAGTCTTTGTTTGGCTTTGTGCCTGTAGAAAACCGGAATGAGATGGCTAATTATAGGACGTTTTCAACAAGATTTGTCTGTGTTTGTCTGTCGACTGTTTCGACCCAAAAGATCACCATATCTAATGCTCTCTTGAGTCACAAGATTAGACTCAAGGGCTTAAAGTGTGAATTTAAACGCGATTTTGAACATAACATGATAAATGTTCTAGGTTATAGAGTAATGATGCTTGTAAGTCAGCTAGGCGGCAATAGGGAGAGAAATGAAACTCTTCTCAATGTCGACCTGTCAGTGACGAAATTAGCAAACAACTAGTTTGACTTCCGGAGTCGTTCAAAACTATGCAACCAGACTACATTTATAAAGTAATAACGTTATAATCTGCATTCAACCACGATACTGAATAAATAGTAAATTTCCGGTAAGAATAACCATACTCGCATCAGTGGCTGCTACTCGCCCCTTGCCCAATCCTCCTTTCTCGTTATCCTCCCACTCCTCCCCTATGACATTTGCAATCAACGCAAACACAGTAAAGGTGTTCTCCATCTGGAAAAATGTAGCTATCTATAGAGCAAAACCCACTGCACAGTCGCCATGTACACATACATTCAACAAATTTGTTTAATCTTGTTTTTTTCTTCCTTTATACCGTCGGGTAAGTGGAAATAAGCCAGTTGGTATGATTCTCTTTTTTCGTTTTATCTTTTATCGTTTGTTGGAATTGTTCATTTTAACCACATTTACAACAATAGTTTTGTTATGCGTAGGCTTTATGTTTGCATCGAGTAACGGCCTCAAGCTGCTTCATACCTCGAGCTTATTGTGGTTTCTTAAAACGGTCCATTGAGTAAAAACTGTTCTCAGCTTTTTAAATAATTAGGTATATCGGAATTGAGACATTGATGTTTTTTAGATCCACTCCGTTCTTTCAGCAAGCTTTCGGTTGACATAATAAAGGAGTGAGTCATTCATTAGTGATACAATTCTTAAAAAATTTTATGACTTCGGCTTTTTCGATAAATTCTCCATTCGAATGGGTGCCAGCATCATCGAAATCGTAGCCTTTAATTTCGGAAGATATATTTGCTTCGCTTTTGCCAAATTTCTAATGATTTGTAACCTTATGTCGACTTTTTTATTCTCATTCATTGTGGCGCTTAATATGTGAGATGAACAAGCAAGCTATAAATTATTTACTTCAAGCCCTCTTTGGTTTCAAAAAAGTCATATTCCCCCTTTGAAATATTGCTGAAAAGAACGGAACCAACGAAAGATATTTCATCTAAGCTCCATACAAATTCTGAAAATTTCCATTTTGTATACACTTAGTCTACTTTTGTATTCGCATCAAATTTATCACGCCGTATCTTATAAATTTTTCATATTTTTATTACCAATTCAAGCGGTGTCTAAGGCTTTTTCAACATCCCTTTTTCATATTGCCACCATTGGTTCTTTAGGTTTTGCTCTCCAAAGAATCTCTTCTTGGGGGTAAATTTATGCTGTAGCTTTTTTTTTTTTTTCCCTCTTTTTTTCTAAATTAGGCCGTCGTTTCTTTAGGTCGAATACGAAGGTGTTCCGGTCTCTATTATTCAATTGACGGTCAGGCTTCATCATTTCGCTCGAGCCGCTTTGATAATCATCATTATTTCTCAATAATTTTCAACTGTGATTTTTCCTGATAGTTTGGTTTTGATGGCAAATTCTGGCTGGGACTCAAGAATATGAATGCATAACCTTTGACACACATAAACCAAGTCTATAATGAATCCAACTTGGGTTAGAACAAATTAACTAATGGTAAACATTACAGCGTACACTATTGAGTTATGGATGCACGTGGGAAGATGCTAAGCATGAAGGAAGCGCGACTTTAGCTTCTTTTATGCTCAGCAAACCATAAAAAAATTAAATAAATAAAACAAAAAAAAATTTCTTGAGAAACATTTGTTTACTTCGAAACATTGCTCACGTCAGCAGCGTATACCCATGGGCAAATAGTAAACACTAAATTGACCAATCAGAGCGCGCGCTTTACTTGATTTATGTTATGATCTGATATATTTCCCAACAGCGTTAAGTCTCCGGTGCTACAGATGTGCTAGCTGGAGTTCTTGGAAGGATTGCGAGGAAAGACTCGAAGAGTTCACTTGTCCCGACGAACATGACGAGAGGTGTCTGAAAGCTACCTATAATCACAAGCTTCACATGAGGAAAACGTTCACAAAATTCTGCGAAAAAGCAGAACAGTGCACTGAGCATACCAACCCAATATGCATTGCGGCCAAGTCACAGAATGCCACATGCGAAAGTTACTGCTGTGATCATGACTTGTGCAATATCGGATCATATGCTATAACCAGCGGGATGCTGCTGGTCGCATGCGCTCTGGTATCAGTGGCTGCTCTTTTTGGTGGAAATAACTTCAATATTTTCTTGAGAGCTGAGTAAACCCATCTTGGTGAACGGCTGATTTCAATAAAACTATCCAACTTAAAATTAGGAAGGTAATGTAAGTGAACATTAGATATCAAATAGATTCAACCTCTGTAACCTTCCATTTTTAAACATTATGAATGACTATTTTTTAATGTAGCAACGATCACATTGTCGCACAAGCGAGATATCCGTGGATGAAGGTAGACCAGCCTGTATGCGATGATGTAACTTTAGGATCACGAGTAATAATGGGTGTATGTGTTATTTAAGAGCCCACCTTGATATTGTAAAGGGCGTGACTCATCGGAATAAAAATTACCCTTACAAGTAGTTCGCCCATCAGATTTCTAACATTTGGTGAAGCAACGCGAATTGAAGTTCAGTGAAAGATCACACACACATTTATATGCGATTGTAACTCACCCCTTAATTTTCGCGCGATTCAATTGGCTACTTTACGTCGCGTAGTACTATATCACTTCTTCGTCTTTCGACTTTACATGGAAGAAAAACGAATTCGTTTTGTAGGAGGTCAGTGCTAGTGACATCAAAAGCTAAACTCAAATGCTGCTTGAAAAGTACAAACAAGTCGACAAATGTTCTGTCAATGCGCGATATCAAAATTTATGGAAGGGTTATATAATAAATAAACCCCCTATGTCGGCTGACAGTATCATTGGCTGAGAGATTGTCCTCAAAATTTCACATTTTGCCTCGAAGCTTCGCTTGTCGGCCATATATTCAATTATTGGACACTCTCTCATCCGTGAACACTACCAGCCAACATAACAATTGCCTAAAAGGGTTTGTTTAGTAGATAATCAGTTGAAGCTTCCCTAAGCGGAAACCATGAGGCTGCTGAAAAATAACTCGTAAGTGGAGCTCGCTTTTCCAACAGGGATGATACTCAAAAGGAGCCATTTGTGGTATCGGAAGTCTCCTTCATAACCGTTGCTGTTTGGTGGCTTGATGGGTGTGCCACCTGACGAAACAACAGCTTCGAGAGAGATTACAGTCTCTATGACCTGCGGTACTGAAGGAAGTCTGTGGGCATGCATGGGCGGATCCAGGAATTTTTTATTTAGGCGGGGTCCAAACTTTGGTTCAGAAAGGACCGTTGGACTCTTTTGATGCAGATTACTTCTCCCCCACACCCCCCACACCCCCTCCTACCAGTTGCGGTTGCACTCATAATTCCTTGGCCGCTTACCGTTTACTCGGATTCGTTAAAATAATCAGCCAGTTAAAAATTGATATACGATCCTGTCGATTTAAGAATTTCAGTCTCAAAGTTGTAAGCGTCAGGTCTGATAGGGGGGTCCGGACCCCCTGCACTAGGGCTGTCCCTAAGTTGCTCCAATTTTCTCAAAAAGTTGCTCCAATTTTCCAAAAAAGTTGCTCAAAAGTTGCTCCAAAATTCTAAAAGTTGCTCAAAAGTTGCCCCAAAATCCAAAAGTTTCTCAAAAGTTGCTTTCTATTTTTGGGTGTAAGAGATTGATTTACAACTCAAATAACGATTTAATTAATAAATTTCGCTTAACGCAACCACGTGATTGTATTCGAACAAAACAAACTTTGCTAATATGCTTATTAAGGATATAAAGTTTCTCTGACATAAACGAGTGTTTGTGGTATAAAGCCATGTTCTTTCAATATTTACAATATTTACACTGTCCCTGAAGGTTTTGCACCACCAGCTACCCCTCTACCGACACATAATTCATGATTTCATGTGCGCTTATTGTCATTGTAACGTAACATGACCGATGTTTCCACTGTTTCCTCTAATGCTGCCTCTTGCTGCTTACTAAATGCATTTTGTAGCAGGCTAAACACTCGTTCAGCCGATGCTGAACTAGGCTGCACCAACAAGATCTTTTTGACTGCAGCAGACCAATTTGGGAGAGCAGCGGCATGTGTAGCCCACCAATGTACTTTGTCTTCTTCTGTTTCAATGGCTGCACCATCAGCAGTGGCCAGATAGTTTGGCAGCTCTTCCACAAGCTGTACAACCTCTGCATCAGTAATGAAACTAAATTGCTTTAGGTCCTGGACTGATACAGCAGTTGGACGTAGTGCTTGCACCTGTACTGGGCAACATAACCGTGCAGCCTTAAATGCACGAACAACATTGTGGAACTGCACACTGAATTTCTGTTGGTAAAAGCGGAAGCCTGGATTGATGCATGCCTTTCCTTGGGCAACTAACTGGTTGTACAATGCCATATTTCTACCTGCATGTTGGC